ACATCTGTAGAGAAAAAAAGATTTATTAAGCTGAGTCTTTTACTAATACAAATATATTATTATGACCAAACTTCACTATAATCCTGTAACATTTTGTGAGGTTTAGTTGTGTAGTGACTTTCCTCAGATTAACAGATGGCAGAAGTAGTACTTGAACCTACGACTTTTAGCTCAAGTTCAGGGCTCTTGCCTTCCAATAATTCTATCTATTAAATCCCACTCAACTTTGAAGGCAGAGTTCCTCTCCTTATCCTCAGCAAAATGAATTATTTCCTCCTTTGTGTTACAATGCTTTGCTCATTTCTATTCTAGCATGTATCACTTTATTCTATAGCTGTGTGTATATACTGGTCTTCAGATTAAATTGTTACTATACCTTGGAGATACGAAAAGTATTATTTTTATTTATTTCTATATACTTGGTACATGGCAGGCATTCAACAAAAGTTTGTTGGGTGAACATTTATTGTATCTCCACTATATTTTGATTGAAAGCAACGAAACAACCATTATATTTAAATTTCTAGAAACTTGTAGACAACCCAGTTCTTTAGAAGTGTTTTACATAATTAATGCAAAAAGCAATCACAAAATAAAAAAGGAGTATCTGTTGGTGTTGGTGTAAAGTCAAACAATTCAGACATATATAAAAAGTGAAAGTTGCCCTTTCCAATTCCCAGGGATAACTAAAGTGAACAATTTAGAGCATATTCTTGTAGACATTTTTAGTTATTGTTCTGCCTCTGTTTTTCCTCACCTGACAATAGACCATGGATATTCCTCAGTGTCAATACACACAGTTTTACTGAAATTATAGCACTGATTCCATGCATATATGTGTCACAATTTATTATAACAATTTTCCAATCAGTAGAGGTCTAAATCTTGACATCACAAAGTTATAATAAACACGCTAACTATCTCTTAATGTAGACCTTTGCAGATTTATAAATATCCCTGCAGGAATATTACTTTCAGAAATCAAAGGGCAAGCAGTTTTATTGATTGATAGGTTTTACTAACTTGTTCTTTACTATGAATACATAAGCTTATACTTTCACCAAATCTATTTTGAGACTGACTATGCAGGTATTTCTGAAGATATAATGCTTTCTGGAAAAATGGATTGTGTGTTTACCTCACCATGATGATAAGAAGACATTTCAGCGACTGATCCAGCTAATTGGGCAACCTTTACCTCTCGCTTGTCATTCCGTTTGAAGCAAGTAAACAAAACCTTTCTCTGACCTGGTTTCAAACCTTTAAAATGAAATAAGGGCAAACATAAGTATCCTCAATTTAACCATTTTTGGGAAATTGATTTCTTATCTTATAATAAAAACAGACTAACAAAGTGGAACTCACCATCCACCATAGAAGGGATAGATCTCTCATTATCAGAATTTGAGAACAGGATAAGTTCCTTGTTGATGAAGTCATTATATGTCAGATATGTGGTAGTCTGTCCATACAAGTAATCCTGAGGGACCAAACAGTTTTACATAAGACCAATGCTTAAGAATGCTCAACACAAAAATCAAACAAAGAAACCTTTAGAATTACTATTTCTATAATTATTAAGTCTTTATAAAATATAGAATACAGAAATATTTTATATGTTTTAAAGATAAAGCAAATTTAACTGCTGCACAATTCTATCATTTCAAATTTTTACTAAAATAACTATTCAGTAAGTTTAATTTGCTATATTATCAATACCAAAAGGTCAGTCAAGCAGTCCATTTTGTGGGATATATTTAACACTTTTACCTCAGGAAGCCCAAGTAACTTTCGTTGTCTTCTATCCTCCATGAAATTTGTTAACCATTCCTTTCGATCATCTATCTGTTTTTTGCTAAAGGCCTACAAATTTAAGGATGAAAAAGATGTCACTGGTACTAATAGGTTCCAAGTATCCTTCCACAAAGAACAAACAAACAATAGAAAAACAATAAAAATCCTGTTTTCTTTTTTTTTTTTTTTTAATTGCATTTTAGGTTTTGGGGTACATATGAAGAACATGCAAGATTGTTGCATAGGTACACAGGTGGCAGTGTGATTTGCTGCCTTCCTCCCCTTCACCTATATCTGGCATTTCTCCCCGTGCTCTGTCTCCTCAACTCCCCACCCCCGCTGTCCCTCTCCTACTTCCCCCATTCTTTTTTTTTTCCAAGATGGATTTTTGCTCTAGTTGCCCAGGCTGGAGTGCAATGGCACAATCTTAGCTCACTGCAACCTCTGCCACCTGGGTTCAAGTGATTCTCCTGCATCAGCCTCCGGGTAGCTGGGATTACAAGCATGTACCACCATGCCCAGCTAATTTTGTATTTTCAGTAGAGACATGGTTTCTCCATGTTGGTTAGACTGGTTGTGAACTCCTGACCTCAGGTGATCTGCCTGTCTTGGCCTCCCAAAGTGCTAGGATTACAGGCGTGAGCCACCTGGCCTGGCCTTTTGGTCTTTTTTTTTTTGAGCCTGAGATTTTACTATCTTGCCCAGGCTGAAGTGCAATGATCCTAAAAAAACCCCTCCAGGGTACAAGCAATTCTCCTGCCTCAGCCTCCTGAGCACCTGGGATTATAGGGGCCTGTCACCATGCCCAGCTAATTTTTGTATTTTTAGTAGAGATGGTTTCACCATGCTGGACAGGCTGGTCTCCCTCCAACTCTTGACTTCACCCGCCTCGGCCTCCCAAAGTGCTAGGATTACAGGAGTGAGTCATCATGCCCAGCCAAAATCAAAATTTTCTGAAATATCTGATTCCATCTCTGGGATATGCTTACTGGAGACATTCTATTCTATAAAACATTCTTTTTTTTTTTGAGATGGAGTTTCGCTCGTTACCCAGGCTGGAGTGCAATGGCGCGATCTTGGCTCACCACAACCTCCTCCTCCTGGGTTCACGCAATTCTCCTGCCTCAGCCTCCTGAGTAGCTGGGATTACAGGCACGCACCACCATGCCCAGCTAACTTTTTATATTTTTAGTAGAGACAGGGTTTCACCATGTTGACCAGGACGGTCTCGATCTCTTGACCTCGTGATCCACCCGCCTCGGCTTCCCAAAGTGCTGGGATTACAGGCGTGAGGCACTGCGCCCGGCTCTATAAAACATTCTTATACAAAAATGTAAATGTTTCAATTGACTAAAGCAGTGATTTCTAAAACTGAAATGTATATATAAAATACAACTCAAACGTACATACCAGGCTGATAGCAGCATCATCTTCGGGACCACAGTATTTGAACTGGATACGATGTCTTTTCATATCTGCAAAGTATTCTTTAGCTTCCTTTGATGTGCTGGTGCCCAAACCTATAAAATCAAGAATACTAACTTTTCTCATACAGTCTTGTATGGGGTATATAATAAAGTGAGAAGTTCTATATGGATTTTATTACAAACCTTTGTAATATTTGACTTTCCATTTTTTATGATTTGGAGTAGAACTCTTCCATTCTTCAAATTCAGGAAGGCTATAAAATGCCATTTCTTGCTTATTTTTAGATATCTGTGATAAAAAACAGTGACTATGGCTTTGTACATTATGCAGTCCCCTGCATTCCATTACATATGACTAGGCTTATTATATACGTATATCCAGGTTTGAGGAGTAGGGCCTTAAAATATCCATTATGGTACCTTATTAATTAGCATACCTTTACAATGGGAGTGATAAATTCCTCCAGAAAACGATGTCGCAGAAGAGAGGGCCAATTGTGATGGATAAAATTAATCAGCAAGCCTTTGATGTGGGAACCATCTTGGTCCTAGAAATATTTGAAACCAAAGTTCAAAAGAATTGTTTACGACAGGTTTGGTGGCTCACACTTGTAATCCCAGAACTTTGGGAGGCTGAGGCAGGTAGATCATCTGAGGTCAGGAGTTCGAGACCAGCCTAGCCAACATGGTGAAACCTTGTTTCTACTACAAATACAAAAATTAGCCAGGCGTGGTGGCAGGCACCCATAATCCCAGCTACTTGGGAGGCTGAGGCAGGAGAATCGTTTGAACCCGTGACATGGAGATTACAGTGAGCAAGATTTAGCCACTGTACTCCAGCCTGGGCAACAAGAGTGAAACTCCTCTCAAACAACAAATAACAAAAAAAGAACTGTTCAGAAATAAAAAAAATTATAATTGACTTCCTGGCAATTTGTCAAATTTTCTATGGGAATTAAAAAAGGTCTGCTCAAATCCAGACTCATTTAACCTGTATTTTAACATACGTATGATATAAGCATATCTGATTAGATGTTGATTAGAAATAATGAATAAAGCTCCTGTTTAAGTTATTTATTTATTTATTTATTTGAGATGGAGTCTTGCTCTGTCGCTCAGGCTGGAGTGCAGTGGTGTCATGTTGGCTCACTGCAACCTGTACCTCCTGGGTTTCAAGGGATTCTCCTGCTTCACCTTCCTGAGTAGCTGGGATTACAGGCATGTGCCACCATGCCTGGGTAATTTTTGTATTTTTAGTAGACACGGGGTTCAAGGTTGTTGGCCAGAGTGGTCTTGAACTCCTGACCCTGTGATCTGCCAGCCTCAGCTTCCTGAAGTGCTGGGATTACAGGTGTGAGCCACTGTGCCTGGCCTAGTAATTTATTTCATGGCCAAAAACAAAATTGTAACTAAGACATGGTTAATTTAGTTGAACAATCTAAAAATTTGATAACAAATCTGACCTGATCTGTCATAATCATTATCTTCCCATAACGAAGAGTCTTCAATGAATCTTCATCTTCATAGTTTTTCTTGTACTGAAGACCCACAATCTTGATTATATTGTTAATCTCAGCATTTTCCATAATCTGAAATGGACATATATACCAAAAAAAGTAACGTCTTGTTTATACATTTGAAAAGAACAAAGAAATATAATAGTATATGTTGCTTGGATTTTCTTGAGCTCCAGTATTTTGAGCTATTATTAGCTTATATACTAAGTCAGAAAGGTCTGTTAAAATAGGCTACAAAGCCACTGACGGAGCAAAGCGGAGGTGCCGGTGGGCGGAGGGCCCACACAGGCTCAGTCTTCCTGGTCGACAGTGGTGACAGCAGCCCAGCCTGCCAGGGTGTCGTTGCTTTTCCAAGTCACTCTTCTAGGATTCGTCGGTGAGTGGCATGGCATGTGGAAATCAACGAGAACTTGTCCGTCACAAAAACATGAAGAAAACCCAGGAAATTATCAAGGGAAAAAGAAAAGAGGATAGCTTGACTACCTCTCAGAGAACGCAGAGGGATTCTGAGATCATGCAACAAAAGCAGAAGGCAGCTAATCAGAAGAAGTCTATGCATACAAGAGAAAAATGATGACTGGCTATTTGGAAAACCTTGGTGCTACTGCCAACTGGATGTATCATAAGTTCTAAGATCAAGATTTTGTACAGTGGACAGTCATTACATATGTTTTAACATCCTTTAAAAACTATTTTGAACTTTATCTTTCAGATTGACATAGTGCAATAGCAGTCTTCAAAGAATAAAACACTACCTGCATGTGGTGTTAAAAAAGATAGGCTACAATGTACCCAATGTCTCAAAATAATCACAAATTGTGTGATTATTTTGAGTCACAAAATATCTTTCAAAAGCCCAATGAGGGAAAATATAAGCATAAAGTCTTCCATTATAAACTAGATTTAGATAGTTTTATATTCTACCTGCTTATGAGAAGCTTCTCGAACATTGAGTATTTTTCCTCTAAGAGGGAAAACCCCATATCTGTCTCTCCCAACCACACCAAGGCCTGAAACAGCCAAAGTTTTTGCTGAGTCTCCCTCAGTCAGGATAAGCGTACACTCAGTGGAGTTTCGACCCCCTAAAATAAAAATACACAAGTTAATATTAGCACATTTAGTTCAACCTCAAATATACTAATTTGAACATACTGTTTATAGCCTTGTGATAAAACACAAATAATTTACAATATATAACAAGTAAATTTATTTGTTAGGTAATAGATCATAATGTAAACATTCTTGTTTTATACTCCAAAATAATAACCTCAATATTATTTATAACAAGCTAAAATTAAAAATGGCCTAAATGTTCCATAATAGGAAACAGGTTGTTATTTTTTTTAGACAGAGTCTCACTTTGTTGCCAGGTGCCAGGGTGGAGTGCAGTGGCTCGATCTCGAATCACTATAACCTCTACCTCCCGGGTTCAAGCAATTCTCCTGCCTCAGCCTCCCTAGCAGCTGGGACTTCAGGACCATGCCACCATGCCCAGCTAATTTTTGTATTTTAGTAGAGACAGGGTTTCACCATGTTGGCCAGGATGGTCTTGATCTCTTGACCTTGTGATACACCTGCCTCGGCCTCCCAAAATGCTGGGATTATAGGTGTGAGCCACCACGCCCGGCCACAGGTTGATTTTTAACAAAGTTATTCTGTTGAATATAGTTATTCTGCCAAGGGAAAAATAAATATCCATGGTATAATACTGTTAACGAATAACAACTGTTAAGACTTAAAGTTTGGAAGTATTATTAAATACATACCTGCATCATTGGCATCATCAAGTTTGGGAATTCCCTTGATTCTGTTATGTTTTACAGCTGAACACTTCTTGTTTAACTGGACTTGGGCCTTAAACTTCACCCAGTTTAGTATGCTTTCTACAATACCACAGCCAATTGCCTGAAAATGAGAAGATTCATATTAGGGAAGAAGGGTTCTATCAGAAACGTAGAATACAAATGAACCTTAATAAAAATAAAAATAAGCTGTGCAATGTGGATCACCTGTAATCCCAGCACTTCAGGAGGCCAAGGCGGGCAGATCACGAGGTCAGGAGTTTCAGACCAGCCTGACCAACATGGTGAAACTCGATCTTTACTAAAAATACAAAAAATTAGCTGGGCATGGTGGTGCGTGCCTGTAATCTCAGCTACTCGGGAGGCTGAGGCAGGAGAATCACCTGAACCCAGGAGGTGGAGGTTGCAGTCAGCTGAGATCACTGCCACTGCATTCCAGCCTGGGTGACAGAGCGAGACTCTGCCTAAAAAAAAGAAATAAAATAAGTTACAGTGTAAGTGTTATGGGTAACAAAAAGTTTGCTACATGACAATAAAGTATGATCAATATCATTTTGGGACCAATTTAGCTGGGAAAAGGGTAAAAAGTAAAGGCTTTCCTGAGGAATGGACAAGATCTAAAGTAGTCAGCTAGGTGAAAAGGATGTATTTCAGGCAGAGGGATTAGCATGTGAATAAACTCTAGGGAGGGGAAGAGCACTATGCTTTTCAGAAATTTAAAAAGCAACAGGACAATATAGGAAAAAGTGGCACTTAGATGAGTTGGAGAAGTAAATGTAATTAGATTAAAGCAGATCTTTCTTGTTGGCCAAATTATGGAATTTGGACTTTTCCTGAGTGAGTCATTGAAAGATTTCAAATTAAGAGTGAAGACAGAAATGTGTGCTTTATTGAACACAAAAAGGTCATTCAAAAGCATTGCAAGAAAAGGACTTAACCAGTAGGAAGGTTAAGAACCTATTATAGTAAACCAAAAAAGAGATAATGGTGAGAAGCTACTGCAGCCTCAGAGATGATTGTTATTGACTGGATAAAGAGAAGGCTCCCAGTTTTCTTGTTTATACACCTAGAGGTTGGTTGGGGCTTTCTACTAAGATAGGAAGTTGTTTCTTTATTGGAGGGTGGGGAGCTGCCTGTACTGGCAAGTCAGTGACTATGGAGTTAATGAATTCAGTTTTGGATGTGTTGACTGAGGGCAAATCTCAGGCATTTAAAGTGAGGGTGTTTAGCAGCTAGATTAATTCAAAAGTGATCTAAGCTTAACGGTGATATGTAATTGGGAAATACTGAAATATAGACAGTAATTAAGTCCTTAGTAAAATCAGATTAAAAAAACCATTGTTTACTTCCTTTTCAGACTGGAAGACTCAGAGAAGTGCACTGTGGGAAGACTCTTTGTTTCTGCAGAGTTGAGAAGCACAATGGAAAATAAAGTCAGGTGCTTTTATTTTTATTTCCCTCTAAGTACTCACAGCTTTGATAAATTTTTCACTTAAATGGCATGTTGATCCAAAGCTCTTGGGTTGTAAAGTCATGTTTTCTTTTGTCTGAGAGTCAAAGGTTGGGTTTTCAATTAAGGCATTTACAAATATCCACATGTGATTTTTCACCTGCAATAGAAGTTGATATTAAGTTACTAAAAATGTATTCATGCTTTATTCATAGCCTTTTTTTTCTCCCTTGACTTTAGAAAAAGAAAACTGCCAAAAGCACATACCTGATGTGCTTTTACTGCAACACCACCCTTGTTCTTCTTCTTTACCACATCAACAAGTTTAGTCACAATCTGATCAGCTACATAATCAACATGTCTGCCACCCTAATAAGGAAAAACACCAAACTGTAAAACTCAGTATCCTCAAAATTTTAATAATCAAACATCAAAAAAAAATAAAACGAATTTAGCCTCCTTTATACCAAGCTAGCCCAATATTCAAGTCCACTTTATATATTAAAAACAGTAAGAACACCTATATGTAAACATAAATCATGATTAATAATTCAAGAATAAAATTACCTTGGAAGTAGCAATGCTGTTGACAAAGCTAATTTGCTGAAAGCCTTTTTCACTCATTGTTAAACATACTTCCCACCTGTGGTTTACTTGTTCATGTATTACTTTCAGTGGGTTACCAGTTTCATCCAACTTGTCCTTCAAATACATGTCCACATAACTACGAAATCCTTTTACCTGTATAAGAATTAAAGGATAATAGTATTAAAAAAGCTATTAAAAATATCCGGAGATAGCATTAGATTTAAAAAATAGGTTGAATGACAGACTATGAGGACTTTTCAAAACCAATGCAATGAATGATGTTCACTGACAGGCTTAAGAGAATGATCATTAAAGAAAGACAGGCCAAGGTGGGTGGCTCACTTGAGCCCAGGAGTTCAAGACCAGCCTGGGCAACACAGTGAGATCCCCATCTCTATTAAAAAAATAAAAAAATTAACTGGGCATGGTGGTGCTGCCTGTATTTCCAGCTACTCCAGAAGCTGAAGTGGATGATTGCTTGAGCCTGGGAGGTGGAGGCTGTAGTGAGCTGTGATTGCATCGCTGTACTCCTGCCTGGGTGATAGAGCAAGAGACTATCAAGAAAAGAAAAAAAAAAGGTAAAATAAATAAATAAAGGACATGAAAGCATTTTAGGTGTTTCTTTGAGAAAGAAATTCCTTCAGTAAATTTAAAATGAGCTGATTAAAAAACGTGGCATACCGGCTGGGTGAGGTAGCTCATCCCTGTAACCCCAGCATTTTGGGAGGATGAGGAGGGTAGATCACCTGAGGTCAGGAGTTCGAAACCAGTCTGGCCAACATGGTGAAACCCCATCTCTACTAAAAATACAAAAATTAGCCAGGCAAGGTGGTGGGTGCGTGTAATTCCAGCTTCTCGAGAGGCTGAGGCAAGAGAGTTGCTTAAACCTGGGAGGTGGAGGTTGCAGCCATTCGAGGTCGAGCCACTGCACTCCAGCCTGGGTGACAGAGCAAGACTCCGTCGAAAAGAAGAAAAAGAAAATGTGGAGTAACATTCTCTTTTCAGAAACATATGTGAGAAGTGGTAAAAAATATATACGGGATGGGCCAGGCACAGTGGCTCATGCCTGTAATCCCAGCACTTTGGGAGGCTGAGATGGTTCAATCACCTGAGGTCAGGAGTTCAAAACCAGCCTGGCCAACATGGTGAAACCCCGTCTCTACTAAAAATACAAAAATTAGCCAGGTATGGTGGTGGGTGCCTGTAATCCCAGCTACTGGGGAGGCTAAGGCAGGAGAATCGCTTGGATCTGGGAGGCAGAGGTTGAAGTGAGCCGAGATTGCACCACTGCATTCCAGCCTAAGCAACATTGCGAGACTCCGTCACACACACACCACACACACACACATACAAAATATATGGGGGGGGGCGAAAATCAACTTTGTACTTGACAATGATTACAAAGTCCCTTATTATCCTTAATATCCAGGAAAATACTCACTGGCAGTTTATTTCCATTAAGAAAGACTTTGACATCTTTGGTGGATCCAGCAATATCATATGCTCTTCTGACCATTAGTGCAACAATATCTTTGTCTAGGCTTTTCATTTTAAACTTAGACAAATCAGGCTGAAAGGTGATACATGTATAATCTTCTCCACTAAAGGGCTTGAGTTCCATCTCACCAGCTCTCCCCATATTATCCATCCATGTCTATGGAAGTAAAGAATAGGAAAGATGAAAAATTCAAGTCATCTCACAACTAGTAAATAACATAAATTTATGAGTCCTAATAACCTAATATATGCCTATGAATAATTTTCCATGC